GAAAATTACAGTTTCTTGGTGGTTAACTGTAGAATCTTCATTCTTGGTTATTGTGGTGTGCTTGTCACTAGACTTCCTTTTGTATGCACCAAAATATAAGTTGTGTATATGTTTGTGCTTCATAAAATTTGAATTAATAAGATGCCAAAAAAATGTAATTTTAGGAGGCAAATAATAGGGGAATGCTAAGTAACGGAACCGTTCCGTCGGGGTTTGTAACCGTTAGATCAATTATCTCCGAACCCGACGAAATGGTTCCGTGACGGGACCCCATGATCTCCTCAAATAAGTAGTTTTCAAGTGATAGTCTCTGTCTCCCAAATCCTAAAGTACTTTGGGGAGTGTAATGAAAAGGAGAAAGGGGGTGTCTATATGTACACCCCCTTGTGTGTAAAAAAGGGGTGTACATATAGCACTTTTCTTTGTGTAATTTATTAAAAGGGGTGTACATATAGCATTGCCCTTTTTATAACTTGTCCCTTCACTTTTATCTTTATGTCTCCATCTGCATTAAATGTATTTGACACTCATTGGTTTTTTGTTTTTAACACTCATTGGGTTATATTCTCTAGGCTATCCATGCATGCATGACCCTTGGCTCAAGGACATTCAAAATCATGATCTTAAGTTTATTTAATATATGTCATTTAATGCTTCATTTTGTCATTTAATGCTTCATTATGGTTCATGTTTTTTTTTTTTTTTCTTAAACAAACAGGAGGGATTACATGCTCAAGTTTCTTGATGAGTATTGCAAAGCATACCATCTTGAATATGACTTCTTCTATTTGCCTATGGACTTCAGGTTAACAACAAGAAAATGATAGTTTTATCTTTTCTAGTTTTTGGCTTAACATTTGGCATAGTTATGTAACTAGTTTGGTACACCATGATTTTCTTGTAAATTATCATTGAAGACAATAATAAAGTGTGCTTCTTTGCCTTTCTAAATTTGAAATGATGTATAGGAAAAAGGACAATTTAGGTTATGCGTTCGTCAACTTTACGAGCCCCTTCTCGGCCCTAACGTTCAAGGACGCCCTTCAGGATTTCAAGTGGCAAACGGTTTATGACTCGGGCCGCCCCATGTCGTCGAAGAAAATATGCGACGTCACGTGGGGCCGGATTCAGGTACGTATTTATATGTGCATTTTTTTTTGAAGAATTGAGAAATTGATATGTTGTTCAATTTCAATATAATGCAACCACAACTGGTTCTGGCTCATTCTTTCAGGGCCAAAAAGCTCTAATCGAAAAATTCAAGGACTCGAGGTTCAAGTGTGACAACCCGGAATTCTTGCCCGTTGTTTTCAACCCGCCTCGTAATGGATCAAACGCTAGCTGGTCGTGTCTTGCTAATTTGGGCTCGATCGAGGGCCTGCATTGAGCAAGATTTGACTTCACTGGTCTGGTTTGTAGGTGAAGTTTAGTAGATATATGTATGTTGTCTGTTGTGTAGTTTGGGCTCTCCTTTTGTGAATTGGTGGGTCATATTTTGAGTGAAGTTGTTTGTTGGGCCTCATGTTTGATGTTTCTAGTGTTTAGTGAGCTGCCTGTGTTTTTTCACAAGTCTCTCTAAGGGGTCTATTGTTGTTATTATTCAATTCTTGTGTTGAATAATGATAATAATAGATATATAGCTTGGATGAGATGGAAAAATTGTTTTTTTTTTATTCTTCTTTGTATTGGTTTTCTAGGTTCGTGTTGAGACTCTGTTGAATGATTAACTATCCTAATCAAGAAATCATCTATTTTCTCCACCTCTATGCATTTATTTATTTATTTTAATTTTAGCAAATGAGCAAGACATGGACATAAAATGTAGTCAATAATATATGATAGGGAAAGGCTACAACCCCGTCACAGAATGAACAGAATGATTCCGTGAGGGTCTTTAGATGAACAGTTAATGGAATCATTCTATGACGGGATTGTAGCCTTTTCCTATCATATAACCAGCCAAAATAATAACATTAAATGTTAATACATGCAAAAAATATAGGATGTTAATGTTTCTTCCATAAACCCAAAATACAAGCTAGTTAACTTAGATAAAAATAAAATCATAAGTTATTTTTTCCTGCTTAACACTAGCAATATGATGCATAAATCATGCCAGACATTACAAGATCTTAAAATCTCTAATTCAAGAGCTCGTCAAAAGTTTTGGACGGACCTTATATGTACAAGAAATCGATCCCAATATCAAAATACAACATATAGTCAACCACACACTTACGTGAAATCGAGAAGAAAAATCGAACAAAACAATTTGCTGATAAACTTGATTGTTTGCGTTCAAAACTTCTTCACATTGGCATATATTCAGGATTGAAGGCGAGAGCCTCCCGGTAGATGAGCTCCTTCATCTGTTCCTCGGTCAAAGCGTGTTGCTCAAAGTCAAAGTTGAAAGGGGTCATGCAGACGGGCTCGTCACTTATGTCGTGGAGAGAGTTCAGGTACGGGTGGGCAAGTGCATTCTCAACTGATAACATGCAGATATAAATATGATGGCAAAA